GGAAGTTGCTCTTGCAAAAGTTCCGACAGACAAAAAGAAGACGGATGCAAGAAAGAAAAGCTTGAAGAGATTATAAAACTTCCGTCGATCTTTCCGACTTATTTCATTATGTTTTTGTCATGTGACATGTTTCAGACTCTCGATATCTTTTGAGTATATTTTTCTTCATGAAATGGTTCTCACATCCGATACCTCTTTAATTTTTATACAACAATAACTACAATGAAGAAGTGCTCACAGCCAACTTCTCGATATGAACAATTCTCTTAAAACCTCACAGCCAACTTCTGGATTATAACTTGAACCCGTGATCGACCTAGAATGACTTAAATCCACACAAATGGTTCTGTCCCTGCGTACCAAATCAGAGAAGTGCTCGATTATCCTATGCGACAGCCATTAGGTATATTGACCCAATTGCAAGAAGAAATTGCATCACGAATATTTAATTAGACAGAACTCAGGCTCACAAACAAGGATGGAATACAAATTTAAACTGCTGCAGATTCGATTAGCAAACATAACACAACGAAAAAGATAAAGTTCCACCAACATTACAGCAAACTATTTAAATTCGTTAACTTAAACACCATAATAAAATGATAAAAAAGGAAACTAGAAACCCCTTGCACTATTAAACCTTGTTCATCTAACTTTTTTAGTATGTAATTTTAATATTCATAAGTCGTTCTAGATTTTGGTTGAGGTGAGGACATCACTTAGCCATCATAATCTTCACAAACTCTTCATAATTGATTTGTCCATCACCATCAACATCAGCCTCCCGAATCATCTCGTCTACTTCCTCATCAGTCAACTTCTCGCCGAGGTTTGTCATCACGTGGCGCAGCTCAGCAGCAGAGATGAAACCATTCTGATCCTTGTCAAAAACACGGAATGCCTCTTTCAGTTCCTCCTCGGAGTCTGTGTCCTTCATTTTCCGCGCCATTAAGTTCAAAAACTCCGGGAAATCAATGGTTCCATTACCATCAGCATCCACCTCATTAATCATGTCCTGAAGCTCGGCCTCAGTTGGATTCTGTCCCAGGGATCTCATCACAGTTCCGAGCTCCTTGGTGGTGATGCAACCTGCACGTGAAGTTCATTCAACTAATCTCAAAAAATTCTCAAAAGTAACGATCTCTTAATAAGGGTATATCTCAGAGCATAAAAAGGTTGGCTTAATCAGTTCAGCTTGGGATAATGCTAAGTAGTTTGATTAATATCCATGCACGCAAATAAGCTGCTTCACAACCAAAAACATTACAATAAAAGAGCATTGTTAGGACTTAGTCCTAATCCTAGTTGGGAGAGCAATGATAGGCATAACAAAATAGATAAACACAAATCACACAAAAATTTATAGTGATTCACCATTAGTGTCTCTCCATGAGAGCTGCATCCACTTATGATGTAGGTTTTTCACAATAATGATTAAGAAGTGAAGAACACAATATTTTCTCGCACCTCCCTTTTCCCAAGGTTGGTCCACGATCAAAGGGATGATAGATAACAATCCAACAACGGATTAGTGATCGTTGTAATTAGGCTTCCATATATAGTCCAACAAGTAGATCACAGATTCAATTTTGATGCTAGACAATACCTATGTATAATACCCATAATGCGGCAAGTGAATAGGCAAAACAAAATGCAAGCGCACATTGACCTATGGGTAGATGTAACAAGGAAACACACCATCCTCCATGATAGGATACAAGCAACTAATATAACAAAGTGAACTTTGAAAAAAAAGGTACAAGAATGGCATAATTCTAATCACGCAAGAATAACTACATATTACCAACACACTAATTCATTTAGCATTTTTCGCCAGTCTTGGATAGTCAACAAAATATTCTTATCATATGCTTCAAACCTTCATCGCAGACATATCAAATAAATTAATGTTCAAACCGCTTCATTTTTCCTTCACTTTCCCTCCCTTGCACCCATAAATCAAAGTTTCCCCATTTTCCAACTATGATGTACTTCGATATATTAATTCATATACGACAAAAAAAAGTTTATTTCACATACATGAAAAATTCCACTCCAATCAATCAATGTATTACCACATGTCCTTTCTTCTTCCATAACATCAATAAATAGAAGTACATCATTTTCTCAATTTTCCAAATCTTCACCAAAAAAGCTTCATCACGGATTCATGGGGAAAGAAAATAAAGGAAAAATAATTTATTTTCTCAAATAAACTTTTAGAATTTCTTCAATTTTCAAAAATCAGATAAATAAATCCTGGGCTCCATCCTTTCTAACATGGAATTTACAGTCTTTCCAATCCTGATCAAATCCATGATCCAAAAATATATCACACTCCCAAAACCCAAATTAAATGCCCAGGCTGGTTCCACTATCACAAAAATCAAAAACTCGTAATTTTCTGGGGGCAATACTTTCATACCCACATCAAATACAAGCATACAAATACTTCTTTGCAGCTGAATTCACTAACTATAAACTAGATTAAGAAAATCCCTCGTTGACCGCAAACGTCGTATAAAATTCAGAAGGCAGCTATATCTAATCCACTAATTATTATTTTTATCTTTGACCTTAAATCTCACCCTTACCAAGCCACCATCTTATACAGTGGCACACCAATCTTGAAATTTAAATCTAATCTTGAAATACACTGCTATCAAATTGGTAGGACGAGCTTAATACTCTTGACAACAAGAACTTGAAAAACCCAGATCCGACATGAAAACAAAAAACCCATATCAAAAATCTAAATTTTATATGCATATGTACATAGAAACACAAGCATAAACGCGTATACATATATGTATATATGAAAAGATAGAAGAGAAGGGGGATCGAACCATCGCCATCTTTGTCAAATAGGCTGAAGGCCTCCTTGAACTCTGAGATCTGGTCATCTGTCAATTGATCCGCCATTTCTTCTTCTGCTTATATTTTCTTGATTTTTTGTGGGCTTTCGATTTAAAGAAGTGAGAGAGATTTTCTCGGCAGACGGTTTTTGGGGTGAAACAAATGAAGTCAGCGTTATATGTACCAGCATAGATTACACGATGGCAGGTAAAAATAGTAGAAAATGATAAGTCACTAATTATTTGATTTTTAATTTTTTTTTTTTTTTTGTAATAAAATTTTGTTTTGATTCGGCGATGTGTCCGGACGTGATCGGTTTGATTTACGCTCTTGATCCGTCTTTCCCTCTTTGCCCCTCCCCTCCCTCTTCATAATTTTGATGGTGTCACTCGCTCACTTGCAGATGGGAAAGGTATGTAACGTGTCATTCATTCCATAAGATATTTTTGTTAACTTATTCCGCTCATATACTCACCTAAAGTGGGAAGGTTCTTTCCCTCAATTCCCCATTTATTATAGAGTTTTTTTTTAAGTTAATGAATATTATTAATTTTGTTTCAATTTGTTAAAAAAACTCGTGTTTTTTTTTAAATGATGATAAATATTTTTTTTCTATTTTATAAAAAATTTAAATTTGAAATTAACTTTAAACGTAGCGAGATGGGGATCATGTTTTCCGTAACTATCTCGTACCCGCTTTGGGAATGATCAACGTCTTGTTTCAGCCCTGTTTGGCCAAGAGTATTGAGTTGAACGAGTTTTTTTGCCGTTCTTATTGTCACTTAATTTACATATGTGTAATTATATTGTCACTATAATTTTTATTTGATATATTACATTTTAATTACAGCTAAACTCCTTAAATTTTGCTCATTGTAGCAATTATTTTCTTAATTTTTTTCACTGAATTCTTATTTTCAACATTTCATTAATTAATACCTCTCATCCTTGGTGATGATTTATATCAAAATATTTTGTTTCCATGCTTTGAAATGAGAGGGAAATAAATTTTCAATCTTTTATCTATTTATTTTTTGAAAATATGATTAAAAAGAAGTTGTTTTAAGTTATTTCAATGGACATATAGAAATAAAATTTGTTATTAAAAAAAAAGTTGTTTGAAGTTATTTCAATGGACATATAGAAATTAAAATTTGCTACTTTTTCTAAACAACTTGGTGAGAAGAGAGAGGCGGCACATGAGCCACCACCAAAAACTTTGTTGAATTGAATGAGAAATTGGAAATTGGAGGAAGAAGAGGTGAAAATGGAAAAATGTTGGATTGGGAAGGTAAGAAGAAGACACCATTCACACTATGATCATCGAAACGATTGAAAGTGTGGATTGTTTATTTAGGGAGTATGCCTCCTAAAGAACGATAAACGTGTGCGAAGATAAATTCAAGTTAAGATTCTTTTGACTGAGTGCAATGATATAAATTTATCTGATCGTAAGACCGACTAATACATACTCGAAAGTCAGCTATATATGTATAAGGTTTATAAAGCCCCCGTTTGATTCACAATAAAATTTTCATTCTCATTCTTCTACTCATTTTCAACCACACATTCTTCAATAAAATAATATTTTCCATAACATTAATAATTTTTCATTCTTTTTTAAACACACATTCTTCATCAATATACTATTTTAAAATGTAGCTCACTTAATTCATTTCCTCGCAAGCTCTTCCATTAATCCAACTGTCGAGAATTCCGTCAAGGGCATGTTTGGTATAGATTCTCATGATTAATTCTATCATTTATTTAGCTTTTGTTTGAGTCATATTCTCATTTTCATTCTCATTCTTTTACTCATTTTCAACCACACATTGTTCAATAAAATAATATTTTTCATTACATCAATAACTTTTTCTTTTTTTTTTCAATCACACATTATTCATCAATCTACTATTTTAACGTGGCTCAATCACACTAAAAAAGGAGACAACTGGAATTTTTATTACATCGCTAGTTTATTTGCGCGAGTGACTGTCATCCATTCGGAGGAAGAAAGTTCACAATATTTCTCGGAAGTCTCCATCTTTTGGCTTATTCCAGATTTAATCCAACTGTCGAGAATTCCATCAAATACATACCCACTTAATTCATTTCCTCGCAATCTCTTCCATTAATCCTCTACGATGGCCACCGCCACCCTAAAACCAACCCACACGGCGTACCTCAGCACCGCCGATAACAATTCGGCTTTCAAACCCCATAACAATTTATCCTACGTTTCGTTTGGCCAAAAATGCCCTTTAAAGCAATTTCGTAGTCTCCGATGTACTAATAGTAGTAGGAGTAATGCTAATTTTCCTCGCAATTTGGTTAAGAAATTCCTGCTATCGGCTTCAAATGGAGAACCTGCGGAAACGCAAACCGAGACCCAAGAAGAAGATTCGGTTCTAGAATCCGAACCTGAATTTGAGGTATTATATCATATGGTCTAGTTTCGCAAGTAATTTTAGTGGCCTTTTCGTTTCTCATTTAGAAAACTGATTCTTTAATCCTTTTATTGGATAGTAAGTAGATACTTAATCAGAGCTAGTGGATTTTTTTTTTCTTTGAATTGATTTTTAGGAATCTGTTTTATTGTCACTGAATCGATATGAAAAATTCATTCATCTTGGAATGAAAATTGGATAGCAGCTTGTGCACTAGAGGGCAAGTGTGTGGGGTTGGGGCTGTTAATTATATGAATGCTCATTAAGCTTTGGTCTAAGTTTAGACTTGTTATTTTCCAATAGGTAACTCTACTCATGTATTCAAACTGTTAGCCATCCATCATTGGATTGAAATTTGTTACTCCCACTAGACAGAAATATCCACATATCCAACGCCCAACGGTAATCGTGGCACTTTTACCTTGTTAACTACGGCCATCTAGGATTAAAATGCATCAAATGATGGTCGTTAAAACCCCTTGTTATTACTTACCCACTGAACTAAAAAGAAAAACCCATTGGTCACTCAAAATGGTTACATATCCACCACTTGTTTGAAACTCGTTACTTCCACTTGACGGAAATGTCCATGTGGTCGATGACATTCTTAAGCTCATTAATCACAACACCTAGAATTAAAACACATCAAATTGAAGCGGATCTTTGTCACGTTTTTCCTTATTGTAAAAACGAAATTTCCCAAATCCAAATCACAATCGCCTAAAAGAAAATCCCCAATTCTAACCTTAACCCTAAGCCATTTTTTTTAATGGATATTTTGTCAGCCACATCCCCAAATTATGAAGGAGCTACGTGTCATTGTTGTCAATTGTCTGTTATGAAGATTTCATGGGCCAAAAAAATCAAGGAAGAAGGTGTCCTGGATGCAAATACTATGGTCGGCTTAATGCATGTGACTACTTTGCTCGGGTGAATCATGTCCTCGGTGCAAGTCAGTAATTCATGGGGTTGTGCGCAATGCAAACGTGAAGGAAAAAAGCGTTCCACTCACACAAGCAACTGTACACTTTAATTTGATGTGTTTTAATCCTGGGTGATTGTAGTTAACGAGACAAACATATCTCGTAAAAATTCCATTGGCCACGTGGACATTTTCATTAAGTGGGAGTATTGAACTTCAAACAAGTTATCGATAGGTAATTGTTTGAGACATGTAAGTTATGTGCATCAATATAAATTTTTTTAATGAGTAGACTATGGAGAATTTAGATATTTAAACACACGTTTTAAGAATTTTTATATTTACATACTCCATTTGCATCAGTTAGTGAATTTGAGAACTTAATTGAAGGAATCGAACTGCGCCCACTCCTATGTGGACATCTCATCATCCATTAGTTATGGAGTTAGCCAATTAAGTTGCATTTTGAAGTGGACATTTGAAATATGCTAGGTGATGATCGTGTTGGAATCTGGTTGAAATGGATAACTTGAAATCACAGACCTTAGACAAGTGCATGTTTGGCTAAGCCAAAGAAAGAAGCAAACTTACTTTTATAAAAAGTAACCATTTGTACCAAAATTCTAAAAAAGAGCAACTTAAAGAAAAGCTAAACATGTTTGGGAAAGATAAGTAAAAGTAACTTTAAGAGCTTCAAAAGTCTTGGCTAAGCATAAAAGTTACTTTTATTTTAGGCTTATTCAATCACCATCTAAGTTGCCTGGCAGAGCATAGTTACCTGCATGCGTTAATGTTATTGGAAAATGTTACTTGGGGAACGTGTCATGTTATTGTATACTAGGAATTGTCTTGGTGAATTTTTGTTTTGAGTGGTTATTATTCTCCCTGGATCCATTAGCATCATCAATTAATATTAGGTTGGGGTGGGGAATGTTATGATATACAATAATGCTCCTCTAAAGTAGATGTTGCTACTTGAGCTTTTGCTTTATGTGGTACGTGGTTTGTTTCTCTAAGACTGAAAGATGAATGGGAAGAGGGCATCTGAGCTACCCATGAGGCTAGTTTGAAGAAGATAAATTATGAATATCTATCTTGTAAATTTGTATGTTATTCTTACGAGGTTATGTTTTCAAACCTTGCTTTCAAACCTTAATTTGAATTGTTTTGGAGACACATCCGTGATGTTTTGTCAATTTCTTAATCCTATGTAACCTTAAATTTATATAGGATGGGAAAGGTAACTGGTCGTGTTTCATAAATAACGTTAATATGAAACTTTAAAATAGTGGAGATAATAAAGACTATATTAATATACATCATTGGAAGAAAAAATTTGAGCTTATTTATACACATTATTCCCTTTTCTTTTTTATTTAGACCGGGGCATCAGTGTTCTGTAACAGGTTAACTAAAAGGCCTTTAACCGTTGAGCGTCTCACTAACTGTCTGTGCCACCTCAGTGTAGCCAAGACAAGCACTGGCTCCGTCCCTAACCCCATACCAATCTTGAACACGATAGTGATCATATTTCAAACTAAAGAAAGTTTTTAATAATTCATTTCATTCACAATGTGATTTTAACTAATTTTCTTTGTATATGTGTTACAACTAATTTTTGAATCTTATTTAAAATTCCTGATTTAGATTACGTAGCTATGCTGATTATGAACTATCGTTAGGTAGAGGGAAGAAAAATTAAGTATTCTGCTGATGCTTTTTCTAACATGGACAGGAAAATAGCAGCTTTCTATGATATATCAATTAACAAAATAACATTTTGCATAAAAGAGTAAATTTGTTCTTCGAAATATTATTACTCTTACAATGGTCCTCCTGGTGGGCCCATAACTTCCATGGTCAAAAACCATGCTTCATATGATGGTTGATTGTATCTGAAACAGGGTTCCTAGAATATTCTAATACCACTATACCAGATTGAGGAAAATTTGCTGTCAGCTGTCAAGATTTTCAGAACGTTGTAGCTATAAATATTATAATTTCCATATAAATTATGCTTCCACTCATTTTTCAATTTTTGGTATGTCAATTTTATTACGAAGTTTCTAAAATCTCTAAGTTTTTCATAATACAATTGTTAGACCGTGAGTGGCAAAGATGCTGTTTCCCTTATTAGCTAACAAATCCCCAATTCCATCGCATGACAAAGGCTAGTTTTGAAATTGTTTGGTTCAGTGAGGTTGCTTTGTAATCACCATATTGTTCGAAATCTATTGAAATAGATTTAGTTGTTGATTTCCAATACCTTTCTCTCTACTTTTATCAAAAAATTAATTTTGTTAAATTAATAGGGGAATCTAGATGGTGCTGTTGGTGTAGACTCGGATGGTGATACTGTTGCGGAAGAACCTGCTTCAGCTGTTGTAGCTTCATTAAATTTGTATAGAGAGGCTTTAGCAAATAATGATGAGGCGAAAGTTGCTGATATTGAATCGTTCCTTGAATCCGTAGAAAATGAAAAAACTGAACTAGAGAGGAAAGTGGCCACTTTATCCGAAGAATTGTCATATGAAAGGGATCGGATTCTTAGAATTAGTGCTGACTTTCACAATTTCAGAAAGAGAACAGAGAGAGAACGGCTTTCCCTGATATCAAATGCGCAGGGTGAAGTTGTGGAAAATCTGTTGCTTGTTTTGGATAATTTTGAGAGAGCTAAAGCCCAGATAAAGGTGGAAACCGAGGGAGAGGAGAAGATTAATAACAGTTATCAAAGCATATATAAGCAGTTCGTGGAGATTCTGGTATCTATTGGTGTTGTCCAGGTGGAGACAGTGGGAAAACCATTTGATCCAATGGTAAGTTACGACATTTTACCATTGTCAAATAACATAGTTTGTGGAATTTTTTGCTTTTCTGTGGCAGTTATAAAATTGTACTTTCTAATTTATCAACTTTCTGATGATTGTCAGTCATAAATAGTATACAGGAATGTTTATAAGGTTATCGTCTGGGAATCTTTTCACTTGATGTGAGAAAATGTCTCTTTAAAAAAAAAAATCCCAACATTTATTATACAGCCTGGTTTCTCCAATTTCCATATTCTGCTAATTGCCATTTTGTTACTTTCTTTCTCCTTTTTTTTTTTCATTGGGTTGTTACAGAAAAGCTCCAAATTCAATCTAGTAGCTGAGTGAAGTTTTTTCAGGTTTTATATAAACATGGATACGTTCCCAACTAATTCTCTACTGCAAGTCAACTCAGTGAGCTTATCTGGTAGACATAGCACAACATCCTTGTACTAGGTTTTTCTTTACTTTTTTCCCATTGTTGTGGGTTTTTGGGGTATGGCCTTGGACTGTGTTTTCTTTTTGTCCTTGAGAGAATTCAATTTAGCTAGGTGGCAGAATTTTTTACTTGTTTGAAATTACATGGGTTAATTGCTTTATCATGGTGGGGTTATCTGCCCTGAGAGCATGTTTGGCTTAGCTAAAAAAGTTTACCTATGAGAAAATAAGCAAGTTTTAGAATACATAATGTTTTTATTTTTCGAAGTTGGACAAATAAGTTACTTTTTTACTTCCCAGATAGTGATTTCTAATTATTCTAAAGCATAACCAACATGATCCTGTCCCTTTGTTGCGTCGACAGATTTTCTGTTGTTTAACTTTATTTTTTTCTTGCCATAGTTGCACGAAGCTATAATGCGCGAGGAGTCTACAGAATTTGAAGACGGTATTGTACTTGAAGAATACAGAAAGGGGTTCAAACTTGGTGATAGACTCTTACGACCATCAATGGTGAAGGTGTCAGCTGGTCCCGGACCTGTAAAACCGGAAACAGGGGAGGCATCAAATAAACAAGAAGTCAGTGAAAGCAATGTGGAGGGTAGCACTGAATCTGGTTTCACTGAAGAATAGTTTGCCCCGTTCTTTCAAGTTTTTATTGGAAGCTGTTGATTTGGTAGAACTAAATGTATCATACCATGGAATATAGTTTTATATATGAAAATAGTATTTGGTTATATATTTCATCTTCGCGTTACGAGTTTGAGCATGTGTTTGGTTTGGATAAAAAATTAGGGTCCGTTTGATTGCATGGGTGGAAAGAAAATGAATTTCAGATAAAATAATTGTCTAGAACTTGTTTTCCAGGAAATTGTTAATTAAGTGGGTTTGATTTATATAATTTTCCATCTGAAAAATTTTAAAATTTTGGATCTCTTTGTGTTCGTTTGACTTTATTTTACATGAAAATTGTCCATTAAAATGATAAATTTTTTCATAATTGGTTATAAAATTTGTTTCCATTGCCAAAAGGTTAAAAAAAAAATCCTAAAAAATCAATTTTTTAAATCAAAATTTAGTGTTCGTTTAAATTTGTTTTATATGAAAATTGTCTATTAAATTGAATTTTTTTTTCCACAATTGGTTATAAAATTTGTTTCCATTGCCAAAAAGTAAAAAAAAAAAAAAAAAAA